ATATTTCAAAAATCACCCAAAACAAGCAAACATGTAAGGCACAGTGAAATCTTAGTCAAATAAGTTCCTGAACAAATCTCCAAAAATAAAAGTGACTCAAAAATGACTAAAAATGCACTAATTTGCTTTAAATGAGTTGCTATGTCTTGTTTTATGGTAAAAATTCAGAAAAAATATACCTTTTTGTTTCATCAGCCATTGATTGAAAGCAACATAATATACCAATAAAAAATCCTAAAGACTAAAATGTGTTGCTGGTTTGACCAGGGGAGAGTGACAAAGACTGTGAAATGTGGGCCCAGGTTGAATTCCTAGAACAGGCAATAGTAAAAAAAAAAATGAAATGATGGTATTAGACACAACATTATGAACGGAGTTACTGCTCTCCCTACCAATTGTTAAAATTTGATACTAAGTCTGAGTAGTAATGGGTTCAGGAAGAAAGAAAGTCTAAAAAATATATATATTTTAGTACTCGTGGTACCAATACAATACAATACAATACAACACAGACAGGAAGGTTTGGGGAAAAAGCTAGAGAGGCCAGATTGAGATGGTTTGGCTGTGATTAGTCATCAGTAAAAAGAACAAGAGGTCAAGATATATGTGAATCTCTCCTTTATTGGTGGGAAGCCAGTCTTGTTGCACAATCTGGAGCCTCTATTTAATATATACCTATTTATCTTTATATATATTTTAAAACCTTTACATCAGATTAGATCTTGCACTCTACAGTTACACTTTGAAGCACACAAACACACACACAATAGACACAAGTTACAATGGGCCACTGATGGGCCAATGATGGAGAACTAAGGATAGCATTAAGGTTCACTGGCACCAAAGGCCTGGACCAGTCACCTGTGAAAACCCCTAAAAGTGCTCTTTGATTTCAGTCATTATTTTATCACAAATTTATTTTAACACAAATACAGTAACTACCGCCACACCTCTGGAGCGGACATCCAAAGCTAACCCTTCTCTTTAATCAGACAAAATATAAGTAGTATTTGGATGTCCCACACCGAGACTTGATCCACAAAAGTATAACAAAGAGTGTAACATTGTCTGGAGTCGACGAGGAGTGCAGATACGTTTGAATACAAGGGCAGCTGGAACACTTGGAACACACAGCACTACATTAGGATCTGTTTGGGTGAAGTTGTGGAGGAGAGGCAGCTTCTGAAGGAGTGAGACCATTTTTTTCAGTCTGCCTCAGCTCCAACATCACCTAAACATGAGCCATTATGCGCATGCACACAAACCAAGAAGCTTTCACTCGTGGACTGAATCACTTCTGACAATACAAGTGTCAAATAAACAGCAGTTTCTGGTTGTGTGTGTTAATTTGAGGCTCCAAAGACTGGTTTAATGGAGAGAACCTTCTAGAGAGGAATGGAGATAAAGTGGAAATGTATTGAAGGTTAGTTTTTTAAATTTTTTTTAAATTTAATTCCTGTATGCTTACTGCGATCTAAAGACTCTGACTCTCTATTGAAGACTTAAAAGGCTGTGAGCTGGAGTGCACTGTTGAGCTATGAAACATAGATGAAAGGTGAAGGGAGAAAGCAGAGTGGCCTCACGGTTTTTCACACCACTGGAACCACACGCATGGTGTTGGTGAAACCAGAACCTGGGCGCCAGCCGGTCAGGACGATGACAATATCGCCTTCTTTGAAGAAGCCGCGGGCTTTGCCTGAAATGTCACAAGTATTTTTTTAGATTACAAAACAAATCCTTCAACTGAGTTATTACGGCATTTTTTAAACTGTTTTGAAAACAAGACATCAAAGTCATACCCATATCCATGGCAAAGTTGACACGCATGTCGACGTCCTCTGCCCACACCTCATGGGCAGGGGTGGTGTAAAGGACAGGAAAGATGCCCCGGTACAGGTGTGCTTGACGGGCTGTCTGGGCGTTACGAGTCAAAGCGATGATGGGGGCACGTGGTCTGTACCTCGATACCAGGTGGGCAGACCTGCAGAAAAGCACATCTGGTAAATACTGAGAAGTAAAATTTGATTATTTTTATCTTTGTCTTGACAGTTAAATAAAAGCTATTCTAGTCCATTAATAAGTCAAAAAAAAAACAAACAAACAAAAAAAACAGGCAAAATTATTAAGAGCCACGATCACAGTCCTACAGTACATGCTAAAATCAAAATGTCCACTTTCTCCAACATACTTCCAACATAAGGCTCAGGCACCCATGTTGAATGGCATTCACCAGTGATTTGACTTAGAATTGCAAAATAAGGGCACTTTAGTCTGTTTTTTAGTATTTATTTGTTATTTTGAGCCTTAAGGTTTGAACCACTCAGGGCACTTTAAACCTGACAGCTGGACATTTGGACTTTGCTTGTATGAAACACATTCTTATTCTGTCTTCATTTTCAGCCTGTTTTTACAAACCAAACACACAGACAGATGTGGAGGTTAGGGGGGATTGGAAATGATTAATGAATTAGTGTTAATTACCAAGAGGAGCCGTAGAAAAGCTGCAGATGCGTCCCTTACCTTCGGGTCGAGGTTGATTACACGGCTATGTTTCTGTCTTACCTTCCAGTCTTGGTCAGAACAATGATTGCACTAGCGCAGCATTTAAAGGACGACTCCACGGCACCGACGGCCACGGCCTCTGTGGGGTCTCTGGTGAAGTGAGAGTGTCTCCTCAGCTCTTCGAACAGCTGCCTGTGGAAGGTGGCGGCCTCCGCCTCTCGAGCTATCTGAGGATCGGAGGACCATGGAGGAAGGAAGGAAGGTATTGGGGGTGAAGGGTTACTCAGTCTCGCTCTCTTTCACACACACACACACACCATAGACATGGTGCTGTGTCACTCATCCCTCTCTGTCCCTGCTCTGTCTCCCTAATATATGCAGAAAACCGATACTCTGTGTCCTCCGTGACCTGTCAGGATCAGGTGACCTGCCTACCTTCCAGAGCCTGTGAGAACAATGATGGCAGAGGCCAAGCTCTTAAAGGAGGCCTCCACAGCGCCAATAGCAATGGCCTCTGCGTGGTCTTTGCAGTATGGCGTGGAACGACGCAGGTCCTCAAACACCTGCCGATGGAACATGGCCGCCTCAGCTTCACGTGCGATCTGGCACATGTGCGAGATTGAAGATGCAAGGAGCGAAGGTGTTTCCACACCAACAACAAGCACGTGTTATGATGGAGAAGAGTCGGTTGGAAAAATTAAAACGGACAAGTGTGTCAGAGACAAAGAGGGAGACAAGTTAGAAATGAGACAAAAAGAACAGAGTGAACAGTAAACAGAGGAACGTAACACAGTAGTGTCAGTGGAAGTAGAAAAAATATTCAGCAACATTTAAACACGTTCAGTGAGAGGCCGTGCTTCAAATCCCACACTTACCCTCTCACAATTTAAGACAAACTTTACCACAAGTCTTTGTATAATGTTAATAAAATGTTTGAATATTGTAAAAAAAAATCTAAAAGTTATATTAAACTAAAAAGCAAAGAATCTAAAACAATGGATGAAAAATAAAATAAGTCAAACTCATAAAAACTATACTGTGTCATTGAGGTCCAAAAGCAAGATAGGAATTGTAAGGCAAGCATAGCATTCAAAAACACACAGACAGACGGAAAGAAACAGAAGGGATTTGAAAGGAGAACGCAGCAAAGAAGAAATGTGTACATGAAAACAAAGCCTTGTACACAAAAGTGTACTGTAAAAATGTCACATGCTTTGGAAGGTTAAGGTCAGTCAAAGTCAAGTTTAGTGTTAATTACCAAGAGGAGCCGTAGAAAAGCTGCAGATGCGTCCCTTACCTTCGGGTCGAGGTTGATTACACGGCTATGTTTCTGTCTTACCTTCCAGTCTTGGTCAGAACAATGATTGCACTAGCGCAGCATTTAAAGGACGACTCCACGGCACCGACGGCCACGGCCTCTGTGGGGTCTCTGGTGAAGTGAGAGTGTCTCCTCAGCTCTTCGAACAGCTGCCTGTGGAAGGTGGCGGCCTCCGCCTCTCGAGCTATCTGAGGATCGGAGGACCATGGAGGAAGGAAGGAAGGTATTGGGGGTGAAGGGTTACTCAGTCTCGCTCTCTTTCACACACACACACACACCATAGACATGGTGCTGTGTCACTCATCCCTCTCTGTCCCTGCTCTGTCTCCCTAATATATGCAGAAAACCGATACTCTGTGTCCTCCGTGACCTGTCAGGATCAGGTGACCTGCCTACCTTCCAGAGCCTGTGAGAACAATGATGGCAGAGGCCAAGCTCTTAAAGGAGGCCTCCACAGCGCCAATAGCAATGGCCTCTGCGTGGTCTTTGCAGTATGGCGTGGAACGACGCAGGTCCTCAAACACCTGCCGATGGAACATGGCCGCCTCAGCTTCACGTGCGATCTGGCACATGTGCGAGATTGAAGATGCAAGGAGCGAAGGTGTTTCCACACCAACAACAAGCACGTGTTATGATGGAGAAGAGTCGGTTGGAAAAATTAAAACGGACAAGTGTGTCAGAGACAAAGAGGGAGACAAGTTAGAAATGAGACAAAAAGAACAGAGTGAACAGTAAACAGAGGAACGTAACACAGTAGTGTCAGTGGAAGTAGAAAAAATATTCAGCAACATTTAAACACGTTCAGTGAGAGGCCGTGCTTCAAATCCCACACTTACCCTCTCACAATTTAAGACAAACTTTACCACAAGTCTTTGTATAATGTTAATAAAATGTTTGAATATTGTAAAAAAAAATCTAAAAGTTATATTAAACTAAAAAGCAAAGAATCTAAAACAATGGATGAAAAATAAAATAAGTCAAACTCATAAAAACTATACTGTGTCATTGAGGTCCAAAAGCAAGATAGGAATTGTAAGGCAAGCATAGCATTCAAAAACACACAGACAGACGGAAAGAAACAGAAGGGATTTGAAAGGAGAACGCAGCAAAGAAGAAATGTGTACATGAAAACAAAGCCTTGTACACAAAAGTGTACTGTAAAAATGTCACATGCTTTGGAAGGTTAAGGTCAGTCAAAGTCAAGTTTAAGAAACAAACCATGCAACAACTCAGAGGCAGAATCTGCAGGATCTACTGCTGAGTCACTCCTGTATCTGCAGAGCAGTACCAACAAGTGTGGCTGCAGACTGCAGGAGACGACTGGGACAGGAGAGGACGACGGAAGACACAGAGGAAAGCTAGGAGTGTTTAAAAGTTCATATCCTGTCCTTGTCCATTACTAAAAGATAAGAGCTAAAAAACATGCATACAGTACAGCTGCTTATCTTACTGTTACTCATGAACATATGGACATCTGTTACTGTTACTGTGTAGGTCAGTAGTTTAAGAAATAAAACAGATCCAAACTTAGTGTTTGATAATTAGGTGTGAATGAAATGTAATCACTAACTCCAGCCTATGACTTCCCTTTAACAGAGTAAACACAGAGGATGACATGCACTTCCATTTGTCCCAGCACTGTTAAAATGACAATTGCTGGGACAGATGGGAAAAGAAAAAGCTGTAACTGGACAACTAAAAGAGATTAGGGGCTTAAAAGGCCAAGAACAACAAAAATGTAAATTAAAAATATAATATATGTTTATCTCTCAATACCTTAAATTCTTGTGCTCCGTTACTTTTACTATTACTATACTTCACTATTATAACCAGGGATGTAACGATGCATAAAAAAACAAACAAAAAAAAACAACAAAAACTTAAAAATTGTACGTCCATAGACTATGTTGACATACTAGCCTAACTGACATTCAGGTGTTTAAACAGAACATGGGAAGAACCTAAAGTTTAGTGTATCATTACACCCCTAATTATTACTCGACTACGTTTATAATGCATGACCTCACCATGTGCTGTGTTCGTACTGCTTCCAGAGGGTAGTCCCCCTTGGCAGTTTCTCCACTCAGCATGATGCAGTCGGCTCCATCCAACACAGCGTTGGCTACGTCGCTGCCTTCAGCACGGGTCGGCCTGGGCTTCTTGATCATGCTTTCCAACATCTGAGACAAAGTTTTGATTCAGTTTAAGAAACGTGGTAACGTCGTTATCTTAATGTTACAGTGTGTAACAGAAAATTACGTTACAAAGAACACCAGGGTTTTTGCTGAACACTTGCTGTCTCACCTGAGTGGCACAAGTGATGGGCTTGCCGGCTCTGTTGCAGCGGCCAATCATCATCTTCTGGGCAAGAAAGACCTTTTCTGTGGGGATCTCAATGCCAAGGTCACCACGGGCAACCATGATGCCATCGCTGGCCTCCATGATCTCGTCAAATCTGCACCACACACAGCATGTGGTATAAATAAAATTTCATTTAATCTAATTGTATAATTTAAACAACGTTCCTAAACATGACCTTTTATCTGTACATTGCTAGAATGTATATTTATATATACATATTTATATACACAGTAAATATATGTATATGCATGCATGCAAATACCTGCGTACACCCTCGTGGTTCTCCAGTTTGCTGATGATCTTAATGTCTTTGCCCTTCTCTCCCAGCACAGCCCTGACAGCGTGCACATCTTCTGCTTTGCGAATGAAGGAGGCAAACACCATGTCCACTCCCTGTTCCACACCAAACTGCAGGTCCTGGATGTCCTTTTCTGAAACAGCAGGGAGGTCTACCGCAGCACCAGGGAGGTTCACTCCCTTCTTACTACCCAGCATGCCTCCATTCTCGATCTCACACATGACGTAATCGTAGCCTAGCAGTTAAATAAAACATTGGACTATTGAGTTCAAGAGATCTTGATTCTTTTTTTTATTATGTTGTGTCAGCATCTACACACTCACCAATCTCCTTAACCTGCAGGGACATGAGGCCGTCGTCAATGTAGATCTTGCTGCCAATTTCCACCACTTTGCTTATGTTTTTGTAGTCAAGCCAGAGGATTTTCTCACTGCAGTCCTCCTGGTAAGCATCATCTAAGGTGATCTTGATCATTTCACCTTTGACCAGCTCCACCTCAGCAGTGCCACTCTGTTATTTCATTTATAGAGAGAACGTTTTATTTTCCTACCGGTTAGCCTACATTTTTATCATGTTCCAGCTTGTTTCACAACTGTATTACAATGCATAGAATCGATGAAGCTGCAAAGTCATTGTGTGCATCTGTGTTAAGCAGTAGTTAAAAAAAATAAATAGTGAAGGTAAGCTTACTCCTTTGATCAGACCAGTCCTGATCTCTGGGCCTTTGGTGTCCAGGGCAATACCAATGGGTCTGTACTGGATGCTGCCAGGCTCAAAACTTTCACATGCTTCACGAACATTTTTGATGGTCTGTGCATGATACTGCAAAACATTAAATGGAAAAGTACATTTAAAACAAACATGTAGTAAAAACAATTTAAAAGACTGAACTAGGCATCTTCAGCTGTTCGGCTTTTGTTCTGGTGTAACTGAGGATAAGGTACTGATTTTACACATGTACAAATTTTAAAATGAAACTAAACTAAAAGGTTTTTATTTCAGCTTAACATTTTGGTTAAATTAGACATTAAAGCATATAAAACATCAACACAAGGAGATGAAAGCAATTCAAAAGTAGAAATACCCTGGAGGTCAGAACCAGATCCTGGATATGTATTTGATTAGTTAAGAGTAAAAAGTCACACAGGATTAACAATAAATCACTAACTAGCTTTTAGGTAAACATCTTAAGCCCAGAGCGGAAGAATGGCTAATTTCTATGATTCACTATGTGTGATTATATCCAAGCAACATCTTTTTTTGCCTACATCCATCACTGACAAATAGTTACAAAAGTTGTGTCAAAATCAAGCCAACTAAAGGAAGAAGTGATTTCCACATCAGCAAAATCAACCAACTAACGAAATGTGGTGATAAAGCACGGAACTAAAACGTGACCGTTAACAGTCTGAGAGGAGAAGCGCCCACCTCATGTGTGCCGTGTGAAAAGTTCATGCGAGCAATGTTCATTCCAGACTTAATCATCTCCTTCAGTGTTTCCACAGAGCGTGAGGCTGGTCCTGCAGTCAACAGTAGAACATTGTGACAACATTGACATTGTGATTGTATCCTTCCATATATAAACAGCTGATTTATATTCGAATACAACCCGACAAAAATATAGATGTGCTATAGACTGGCAATGTAAACGGCAATTTCTGGTGCAAAGTATGTGGCTTGTGGAAACGAACCAATGGTGCAGATGATGCCAGTGTTGCGTGCAGTGGTGGGCTCAGAGTCGATGTCCAGCAGGCACATGTGCTCCAGGAAGGTGTCGGCCATGGCAGCGTTCAGCTGCTGTGTCTGGATGAAGGCAGAGCCCATGTCTAGCGACTTTGACTGAGGCATTGTTATCACTGCTAGTGAAGGAGAGCTGCAACAACAGTAGAAGAGAAAATGTTAAGTTATCCATTACAACAAAGGTAAACTTCTAAGTACCCCAAATAATTGTGTGTCAATTGTATTATAGAAATACATATATATTACTTTATACATATATATTTTATTATAGATATCAGCGACATTTATATTCTGTACTGTACCTCACTAAGCAGATATATTACACAGCTGATATAATGTAACCTTCAAAGTACATTTTGTTCCTTATGCCACTTCTCTTAGCATTACATCAATAACACCAAAACCTTGTGCAAAAATCTTTGCACAAGAAATGACAAAGAAATTCACAAGTCTGAATTCACTAATCAACAGCTCAATGCACTTTTTTCCCTTCACTTGTTCAACAATGAGAATTATCAGAAGTCCGTGCCAGCAAGGCATGTTTCAACAGCCACAGATCAGCTAAGCACTATCTGACTGGATAGAAGCAGGGTTTTATTATCATAAGGAATGCAACTGCCAGCCAAGTTATTGTTGCTATGGACACGTAGGTGAACAGCAAACTGAAAAGTGAATTTGGTAGTATAGTAAAAAGCAAAAATATCTGAGCTGTGAAAAGTCATTGTGCAACATATATGGACATGTAAATTGCACTATGTTGAACTATTTATCATTTACAAATTTTATAAATAAATATTTTCTGTTATGGTTAAAAGAAAAATCCTGAAATTTCCTTCACGTCACAAATCTTTCTGTTCTCTTGGCCTCCTTGGAGAACTGGTTAAACAAAGTCATGCAATGTCAATTAATACTTTAGTAAAGCAGCCTGCCAAGTTACCAAATACATTAAATTTTATAACATTGTATTTAACTATACACAGCACGATTAAGGGTTTGAGGCAAACTCCACTATACTATAATGATCCTTCACAGAGACCCACTGATGATGTAACAACTGAGTCAGAGGAGCAGACCACTGCCAGACCAGAGCTGTACGTGAACACTGTCACATCGCATAAGATCATTTTGGTTAGGGCAGGAAAGTTTACTGTTCACTGCACTGTGCTGTGAATTCTATGCAAATCGGACTGTTTCGACCTACTGAACAACTATAAATATGTTGCTACATCATCACTTACAGACAATGAATTATTGGTTAAACTTTGGTCACTTATACTTTACATATAGAGTACTGTTCTTGCTAACACAATAATCACAAAAGTATCATTCAGGGTTGTAAAACCAATGAAGTATAATGCTATGCTAAGAGATGTAAGTACAAAACTAAAAGGTGAACCACAAGGCTCTTATACAGAGAATGAGATAAAGTTTCATCACCTCTACATAGCAGTTTTCTTTTTCCTTGTGTACAAAAAACAATGTCATATGTCTAACCAGAGTTACAACACATGTTTGTTATGTGGTACTCTACAACCCTACCTCTATTGGAAGAACATTTCAATAACATTTAAAAACAGGCCGAGTCCAATGAGTATTGTAAGTGTGCATTTGACAAAGAGAAAAACTGGAATAAATGGTTATAGCATACAGTCTGTTGTATGAATAAATACATTTTTTTCCCTGAATCATCCTCATATACAGCCCTTATTCTTTAGCTTCTCTGTAGAGGAGAACATTCACTAGTAAGGGAAATATTAGAAAATCTGGTGGAAGAACAATGACAGGGCTGGTTGAACCTACAATTACAAATGCAAACAGACTTTGCTGACAATAAGCCCTCACAATCCCTTCTCAACACATCAACTCTTATAACAAACTCTATTCCGGTAACATAATCCTATTCACCAAGGTCAATTATGCAATGACTAGTGAAATGGTAGCATTACTGACATTTCATCTCCAACCTTCTGATTCTGGCTTTATTCAAAGTGTTTTTAGGTCAAGTACTGTATGTCTGACTTTGCTGATTGAAACTCAATAATACAGGGCAGTATTTCTTGGTTGAACTCACATTCTCCTGTAGATCTTCTGGCTCCTTTTGTGGACTAATAAGCCAGGCGATAGCAGTGACCTCAACAACAAACCCAGTGTGCTGAAACCTGCTGCGCTGGTGATCAATATGTGTCCTGCTACAGCAGTCCTTGCAGAACTTACAGTAGGCACGCATACGTACAATACTTTCAAGAGCTCAGGTGTAAATCCTTTCAGTGAGGATAAAGAACATGGAAGAAGCCTGCAGTGAACAGGCAACCGCCATAATCTAACACAAAGGACTTGCATACGACCACCACAATGCACCACGGTTGTGTCCCTTAAAATACTACAACCAGCCAAAGTCATACTGCACTCCAAACCTATGAACAGACAGTTAGCTAATAATAACACTCAGCATGTCAGGTCTTTTTGCAGACACCCAATACTCAGTGTATGGTGGTAAACACATATTGTACGCAGGCCTCTAGAAACTACAACAAATCCAAACACTTTCTGGACAATTTAGGTAAAGCTTGGTGTAATGAAATTATCATTAAAATTATACTTATGCTGCTTTGTGTGCTGCAACCAGGCAAAAAAGTATTAGTTATATATGTGAAACATCATATAATACTTTCTGCTGGATCATATTATCATATTGCATGGATTTTCACTGTTGTCATATGAATCAGCAGTTCCATTGAAACCTAGATGTTGTTGAGTTTCACAATAACGTGAAATATGTGAAACTCACAGCTTACTGGTAAAACTGCATGGGAGCACCACCACCTGCAAAATGTCACCTCTACTGCACTGAAACAAGTTTAACAACAACAGCAGCAGCAGGTCAATGCCACCTCCACCCAGAACAGATAACTACACTTGTCATACTAATTTTAACCACAAATAAGTAAGTACATGCTAGAAGGCCTCTTAAAACATATCATAAACCGCACTATCTGCCAGGACAATAATCAGATCATAAAGCCACACCACAGCAGGTACCATTTATTTCTGGTGACTCTGCTGCATACACGGAGTTTATAAACTCGCAATAGAGCAGGGCATTCAGACTCCAAAGTGAAATATGCTGTAACACTAGGCACAAGAACTTTACAATCATTCTACTGTAATTAAAGTCAACTGTCCAACTACACAGAACACAGTTAGACTTTTTGCTAACGTCGTTTCCGCAAATTATAGTCACCTGATTCTAACCAGGATACTTTTCATTTTCTCCATTTAGACACAACCGTAACTTTGCTTGAAGCAGTTAAAGGTAGAAGCAGCTAAACAGGGTGTCATAATCTTATAATTGCAGTTAGATGAGGACAAACCCTTAGGCACGAAATGCGGAACGATATGCATTGCATCTGTAACACCCACTGCAGCAGGGCACTGCAGTAAACCTGCTGAAAGATTACAGGCGTCACATTGGATTTTTATTGACACAGTGCCCTATAGTACAGGCCCCGTAATTAATACCGTGGTTTATTTATTACTAAGGGAAACCAAAAGAACGTCGAATCTGTGGATGATTAGCGTCATCTAAAGACTGTTACGACGACGCGGTACTACAAAATAGTATAAGATAATTTAAACTTCGGAGAGTTTTAAAACTGTTCATTTTTTCCACCAGTAATTCTAAAGCGTTATTTACGGTACAACACACACGATGCGCCACAGATCACGTTCTCATCCTGCGTCACATTTTCCTGCTTTGAGTACGTCACGATGACTGACCAGTAAGAAAACCAAGAAAACTGAACTTCCACACCCACAACCGGAAATGAACACAACGTCCAACACTTCACGCATCACATTTGTCTGCTTGTTTTAACATTAGGAACAAGAAACACATTTAGTAAAACAGAGACCACAGTCTTTAACTTCTCAGTCTACTCACTAATTCAATGGTAACTGGATAAATAAATATATACAATGACGTAAAAACTCAGCACGGCAGAATCGCAATGCTCATCTTGAACATATGAATGAGATAACTGCGGATATTTATAGAAACGACTTAATGTACTTGCACAGTCAACACTGTAGCTTACTCAATCAAAACGTTATGTTGGTGAGGAAAGTGTCAATCCCGACCGAATCGTGTATGAACGCACTTACCAGTGTACAGGATGTTGCTGAGAAAGAACCAAGGCAACGAGGTCAAAATAATAAAATAACTGTCTGAATTGCTCACCACTTATCAGGTCACCCCGTGTGACTGATAAGCGCTGGTGCAATGGCCTTAGGTATAGCACAGGTCTTACCTTAGCGTTCAACTCGTGGAGAACCGATGTTGCCGCTGCTTTAACAGAGGCTCAAGGTGATCTTCCTCGTCACACACTCCGCGGGACTACTTTCTATAGATGCATCTGTCGTATCCATCCGAGATTACGTCATCACACGACAGCAAATAGGCAGCAGTGTAATTACAATTAGAGAGATTTGTAGACAAATGCAAAAATGTGTTGTTTGAATTATATTCCACAAAGAGATGTCTGGAAAGTAGATAATAGAGAAAATGATGCGGAAGGATACGCGGAATTACGGTCGAAGTACTTAGGGAAGTTAGAGAACCAATCAGACTGCGGGATGGCATCAGTTGAGAACAGCATGGCCGCTACGTGACTGTATAACAAGCTGCCATGTTGTTGATTCCTTAATATCCTACGGATGTACAAACCACCTGCTGCCTGAAAAGTTTATGAGGATGACGCACTAAAATATGTACTCTCTGACAGTTGTTTCGATACAGGTTTTACCACCAGCTAATAGCCAGCTTTGAGCCGTTTTAGAGATGTTTGGCTGATGAATCAGAGATGCTCCACGTTCAACTGCTTTTACCTTTAGACAATACTTCCCTCTAGCGATGAAAATGTGAAATGTCGACCCATTTCTACGTTAATATTTCATGATTAAACATGAAAGATTTCTTTATTGTCATTTCACACGTTGCACATAGAGCTGTGTTCCCGTGCATTTGTATCGAACGTTAAAAGGCCCTAATGATCTAAAAATGACAAAAGTTAGGTAAATAAAGAGAAAAATTAATGTATGTATATACAAATATATATAGTATATTATATATATAGAAACCAGCCAGATACACACACACACATATATACATACATATATATTTATATATATACATACATACACACACGTCATTTGTACATATGTATATATATGTACATATATACATACATATTAGTTTTTTTATTACCATTAGTCAGTAAATATTATTAGTAATACTATTATTAATGAGTGAGTCATATTGTTTCCTCTTTATTCTATTGCATCATGGTCAAGAATCGTTTGAATTTTTTGTTTTATTTTTTTTTTCAAAAATTGTTGCTGTTATTAAAACTATATACACTAATTGCAAAAACATTAAATGTATTTCAATGAATATAGATTATTTGTTGTTCTTTTGAACAATATTATAGCACCAATGGACAATGACATAAGCAAACAGTCTGTACTTACATTTACACACAAAACCAAAACATGCATGCAGAGGACTAAGCAGCAGCCATCTTCCTCCTTTTTCACAGCAGCAGCAGTGCAGTCAGCTGCAGGTCACATGACTAGCTTTCCTGGTGCCAGTGAGCATGCTCAGACTCCCCAGTGTTGTCAGGCAAAATATAAGACAGCAGCAGGAGCAGAGATCTGCAATAGATAAACACACAGACTCACAGACACCAGCTTGCTTGATGCTCCAGAAACACAACATTAGTGTTCAGAAACGGATGCTGCAGAACTGGGGACTAGTGGCTCTGGTTTCTCTAGGATCTGATTTTGATGAGCTCATTGTCCTCCTAGTGGAGAACAGCCACTGAGGCAGAAAGGCAGGTGTGCCCTTTAAGAGGGGGAGCAGCTGAGGCAAGGACAGCATCCAAGACTCCATCCTCGGTGGAGGTAAGTGCTGATGGATGTGGATGGGGGGTGCAGAGCATGGGGGAGGGGGCAATCCGCCTGACTGCGTCTGTGTTTACTGTTATCTGTGTTACACTGCTATGAAAAAAAAGAATGCAGATTGGACTGGTCATGGAGAGAGTGATGGTCGGTTGAGGAGGAGGCTGCAGAGCACCAACGTACACTGTAAAAGATAGAATTTCAGCCAAAAGATGTAGACATGAGCAGGAGGCTGTGTGGAAGTAGGTGACGTAGATGTCTGAAAGGGTAAATTAGAGGGATTGAGAGCCCATTCCATGTGACACAAAAAGATGTGACCATATTTTTAGTGGACAGTTGCTAAAAGAAATTGTATTCAATACCTGGTTTGAATCGTCTTCAGTGTGATTTCGTCATGTACTGTCCTGCAGTGTTGACTTCTGTTGCAGTCCAGTTTTTGTTTGGACAAGTTTGAGATTTCATTTTGATTAAGAAAATATATATCACAGTCAACAAAACATGGTGAATGTGAAAAATGCAGAGTAACATTTGTAATTCTATGCTAGAAATATTTTTTCTATATTTCAATTTGAAATCTTATAGTAAATACACCACCACAATATCATGTCCATGTCTGGTATTATAAATTATTATTAAATAATTTTGCCATACTTTTCTATTTCAGTACTACAGTAACAGTCCTACTTTATATATTAAAACATATAGTAACCATCAGTTGTTTATTAAACAATATCATTTTTGGTATCTCTCAATTATTTGTTGTAAATTTAACATCCCACAGTTGCTGTGTGCTCCAACTAAAACAAAAACACAATAGCATAAAATAATTGTCATAACAATATATTTAAATGTTTCCATAGCAACAATAGAGCTGACATCACAATGGGTCCTGTTTTGTTTTGTTACAGTGGTGTGTGTATGAAAACATACTGAAATAAACTGCAAAACAAAGAAACCGAAAGACACTCAGTTCTAAATGTACAGCACACATCTCCCACACACTCTCCACACGGTGATTAATGCCACTCTGAATGGAGGCAGAGAGAGCTGTTGCTAGGATACATGGCAAGGTGAATTGCAGACGTTTTAAAGGAGGTGGGGGAAGCAGTAGGGCACAGTTTACAAAAGATGGCATCTCTGGGTATGGCCATTTTGTTTCACGTTTAACCCTGTATCGATTTTGTAATCTGTGTCTTCAAGCTTTTGCACTCCTTCATATAGCACCAGACAGACGAACGACAAGATCGAAGCTGTGTTGTTTCCTGGAAATAGGCTGAAATGGTCGGCGGTGTTCACAGGCCGAAACCTGTCTGAGTGAGCCTTATGAACACAAGACCCAATGGTAAGAGAGCCAGAGCACTGTTGTTGTAATCACTGCATCTGGTCGAGCTTAGTCATTCTCCTGGGCTTTCGTACAAAATTCAGATGTGTTTTTTAATTACTTTTCATTTTGTAAGCACTAAGCAAATAGGGGTGTAGCAAAATACATTAGCTCAGTTTAAATAAATTATAAATAACAAAAGCGTTGCCATTTTTAAAAACTCTGTCCCTAGAAATAACATTACAATTTATTTTTGATGTCTTTTTTGTGGCTAATTTTTGAGCATTCCGTCTTTGAGACAGTGTTATGCTTAGATCCCTGTTCCTTTGAGAGGCTAAATAAAGCAGTGTTTTGAAGTCCTCCAACACAGAGCTAAATATGGACATGTAAGAAAGGATGCGGGATGAAGTGACCGTTCAAAAAGGTTCCATTTCTCTGCTGTACCATAACAGCCTTTTTATAATGTGTGTGCCTGCAGGACATCAAAGGACAGTGCTGGACAGACGAGGAGTCAGACGGAGAGAATGAGTCAGAGCAGTTTCTATATGGCATTCAGGTAGAGAATCCCCATCTCTCTATCCTTTGATACATTACAGCCCAGTCTTCACTTCATGTACATATTTATCTACATGGAACACTTTCACTGTCAAAAAAGTCAGAAAAATGCATATGTGTCTGATACTAAACCAAAATGAAGAATCAATATTGAACCTGGACATTACTATTTAACTGCTCTGAGTTCAAACCTGTTTAACATTATGATACTACTGCTTTGTTTTCACTTGTGACGTGTTAGCAAAAGGCACATCCTGCAATGTCTAATACATATATACAGTATATACTATTTATGATACATAAGCCTGTACAGTCTGAGGTGCTCAGTCCATTCCCAGGACGAGATGATCTCAGATGGGTCCATTTGACCCCTCCTATCGGTGGACCAGCTGGGTTCAATGCAATGTTTTAAGTCCTCAAACCCAGGTTGAGTGTCGTGGTGTCGTCAGAAAGCTAAAGGCTAACGTTGTTATTCTGTAATTTCCTCTTCACTTATGAAAATAATCGGTCAATTATGACTGTACTGTTTTTGGGTAGTTAAACTTGTAGGTATTACACAAGAATCTACTTTGAATTCACTCTCCAATTGTAATGGATTTCATTATTAACGGTTTGTTTAAAATATGCAGTTGAAGAAAATGTCAATTAATTCTTAAGTACGATCCAACTTTGGAAAAAGTACCACATGTTTTTTAAGAAGTTCTTCAATATTTTCCAGGCCGTCTTCCTTCACCACATCCGTTCCATCAATCACCAGCAAAGCTGTCAAACTCTACTCAGTAGCTACCGATTAATGTTTCATCTCCTCTTATAAAGTTCAGTGCTGAACTTCCACGTAAGATTTCAATCTGGGAGTCATCCTT